TCCGGGGGGGGGCCTTCTTCGGAACATGAAAACTGGGACGTCTTGAGAGCAATTTAAAGGCATTCTCAATGACAAATTAAATGGAATTAAATATTAAATTTTGCTGACTAGTTTTTATTAATATTATATCTTATTGTGGGTTTTAATTGATTTTATCTTAATTTAACTCTCACGAAAACAAGTATTGCGCGAAAAACCACAACCGGATACAGTCAAACTACATTCCACGTTCCTTATTCGAAGGAAGCTGCTCTTTTCGCGAGTAATTTTCATTTTTCTTACAGCATTGATCGATTATATCAGGAATAAGCTCATAATTATTACATTCCATATGCTTTTTACCACAAAGTTAATAGTAGCTTGGGGTTCTTGACATTTTTTGGATGGGGCCGAGCAGCATTGTGGGGATTGGAGTCGCCTATCAGGATCATCCTCGTCCAACTCGTAGAGGAGTTTAATTCTGTACGGATGAAACTTGTGATGCTTAAGCAATTGACGAGTCTTACTCTATGAAACTCCATGCGGTTTGCCACCTCGTTGTTTGTCTGCCGCGGATTTTCGATGAAATCAGCTAGAGTATCAATTTCTTGATCTTGTGCCATTGATTTTCGGCGTCCTGAACGAGGAGCGTCTTTCATCGCCACACTTGCGATTGTCCTTCCAGCTCTCCGGGACATTCCCAATCTCATTCCGTTATACGTTTGAACACGGTTGACCATAGGTAAGCTGCATATGTTTGAAAGTTCCCGCCCTGTCGCCATGGAGCGGTACGTGCCGGCGTATTCGGAGAGAGGCACCCACTCTACAAGTTGCCCTAAAACTTGCTACTAATCGGACGTATTTCCGTCAAACGGAACTACGTGCATCATGACGTGAGCCCGTTGCGCATGTATCTTTATGCATATGCGTCTCAGGGCTCATATCTTAATGCACATAGTTCCGTTTGGGAGAAATACGTCCAATTCTCTGACGCAGTTCTTGAAAATCGGTATTACAGTTGTGGTCAAGGCAATGAACCGTCGAGCGTGATGCGACCGGAAATGCGAAATGATTCTATTTAATATTCATGCGACAACCGGATGCAAGACCCGATGTTGTCTGCGAACGGGAAGACTCTGCAGCCAGCCTGGAGGAAAGTCCTTCCTGAGAAGCGTGTCCGCAAAGAGGTTCAGGACCTCTTTCGGAGCCTTGTGGGCCCCTTTGGTCAGCAACTTCTCGACTTCTTCCCCGCTGTCGGACAGGATAGCGACCCTAGAAGTAGCCTTACCAAAGGGCCGCAATGTCCTTGGGTTAGCCCTTCCGCCTATGCTCGGTTAGATATTTTCGCACCCGCTAAGGGAGCCCAGCAGCGCTTCGTCCAGGATGTCAGGTTTTGTTTAAAACTCTCTCCAGTGAGGCAAGACGCGTTCTCCTAGCAGTTTCTTGCTTCAATGATTATCTTTCTTGCACTTTGGTATAATTCAAACAGTTTTCGTACTTGCTGGGTAGGGAATAATTTACAGTTTTAGTTTTTTGGCCCTGAAAAGGACCGTTTTAAGAAGTCGACCCACCTTCAGAATGCATGGGCCATCTGGACCACATTGTCCCGGGCGGCTGGGGATCTGTCAATTTCTTCAAGTAAAAGCATCCCTTCTAAAGGGATGGGGCATCCCTTCTAAAGGGATGGGGCATCCCTACTAAAGGGATGGGGCATCCCTACTAAAGGGATGGGGCATCCCTTCAGTTTCGATGTTGCCGGATTTGCTGTTTAACGCGCATGCGCGAACAGGAAAAATCGACGAGTGAGTGGGCAGAGTTGGCAATTTTGAGTGACGACACACCCGTTACTGTCATCTGCAACTGCATCTCTCAGAGCGGCTTGCTCAGGTGTATCCGACTCAGGGGAATCCTCCGGAAAGAATGGACCACTAGACAAGGTACGAATTTAAGCGATCTGATACATGTTTCTTAACCAGAATTTCACGTAGAAAACGATTTACACAACAAAAATTACGGAAACCAACTCCTAACGAAGATATTAACGTTTTTATTTCACATTGGTTACGAGGAATTTGAACTGCCCGCTCACAAGAAACTCAAAACTCTACGTGAGTCAAATCGCCCACTACAACGGTTTCAGCAAGCTTCTCAATCGAGCAATGTTCACTTCCCACCATGTGTTGTTCAAACTATTAGCAATTTGCTATAACTAAGCCAAAGCGTCAAGATTGAGGTTGCCAGATTTTTATATTGCAGAGACTGTCATGATAACGTTTAGCGCGCGA